ACGTGGGAGCAAAGTATTTTCAGTAACCACCACACTGCTCACCTGCTCCACCCCACTCACCTGCTCCATCTCACCACAGCCAATGCCCACCATGTTCTGTGTGCATCCCCTGGTGGTCAGCGCATGTCATAGCGACCGGTTGTTCAGTTGTTCCACCATTCGGTCTATTTGCCTATTAGCCTTTTATTATATAGGATGATAACCAACCATTTTACCACCATGGATCTTGAAGTTTGAAGAATTTTGCTACTAAACATGATACATTTATTTGGTAGGCATTTTCTTTTTTCAATTTTAGTAACAATGACATAGAATAATAGCATTGACAGAAATGATCACATATTAGATTCATATTACGTATTAGGGTAATATAGTGATTAAGAGCATGCATTTTTAATGAAGAGCCATGGACTCAATAGGATAACCTTGGTTGAAACTTCACTTCATTAGCTGGGCAGCCTAAGGTAAGTTTTAAAAACTGTTCTGGGTCTCAATTTCCTCCTCTTGAAAAGGAGGATAATAATTTTGTCAACTTTGCCATGTTGGTTTGAATGGATCAATGAAAAGCACTTAGCACAGTGTCTAGCTGCTGGCTGCCTCCTGAGCCTGCCGCCCGGGCATGTGCCCTTGACTGGAATTAAACCTGGGACCCTTCAGTCCGCAGGCTCACATTCTATCCACTGAGCCAAACAGGCTAGGGCTGAAATGCTTTTCTAAACAGCTGCTTTACTTCCATTGAATAGTTCTGACATTCAGCAGTTTGCTAAGGTTTCTTCCAATTCAAGATTCTGTGATTCTGGGGTTGTTTCTCACTTCCTCTTAAGTTTTTTTCCTCTTTATTATTTGACATTACTAGACTGTATTCTCTTAATATAACAAATACTATATCTTGCATGCAGGTGCCATGCCAGTTATAAAACACAGTGAAAATGTAAGGCAAAATTATTTTTATTATGTATTAATATGGATGTTGTTGTTGTTAATGGAAGAATCTGGGAAAGTTGTAGATGTGATTTGTTTAGCAGCCCATGATAGGTCATGGAGAGAACCCTGAAAGGCTCAGTATGTAGTTACGTATCTGCTCTGATTTGCATATATCTTAAGCCTTAAATACCATTTCCAGTGAAAAGGGTAATGGAGAACCATTAAAGGGGGAATATGACAGGTCTCGACTTGTAATTGTTGATAATTTTGTTGGGGCCTCATCCTAGATGTCCCTACCATCTTGCTTCTTTCTCTCATTGTGAGTCTGCTGATAGTTCAGTCTTATTTGAAATACTTGGTCATCCTCACAGTATTATCAGTCACAGAAAACTTTTCTACATAGAAATCTCATTTCCCCCATGAAGTTTATAGTGCTCTCTTCTCCCTAAATGTATTGTCCATAACTGTGACAGGAATTCTTGGGAAATAGACATGCCTGAGTTTGTTGAGATTGCAAATGGAAATGCCTTCCTCCCCAGTCTTTATTTTTCTGGGCCAAGTTGAACGCAACATTATATAGCCTGTAATTTTGCAGTTTTTTTCCTTAACTCTCTTTTTTTCCTCATTAAAGTGATATTACCCCTCTGTAGATGACTGGTGCCTTCATTCTAGCTTTACACGCTCTACTGTGAAAACTGGATGGGGCTGTTAAACAGTCATTAGTCACTGTTGATTTATTGATTCCAACATAATAGATAGGCCATCTCTTCTTCCACCATCTTCTTTCATGGCATAGTAGAAGGATGTTAACTCCCACTGTAATTATAGTGTCATTTTACCTGCTTGAATATGCTAAATAACTCCCTGGTCAAGAAATTCAGGCTGTTGGAGAAGGGCGGATGAAATGGAAACAGCTTTCTAAAGTACTACTGATTTTGTGTGTGTGAGGGAAAAAAATCTAATTTCCTACCTGCTCAGAATAAAACATTAGACTAGTTTTCCTGTAAATAGCATCACCTCAAACACATGGGTACTGAATTGTACTCTGACTTTAAGACCTTACTGTGGCTACAATGGCTATGGCAACACTAGGTGATAGGAACGTTTCAGCTCCATTATAATCTTACTAGAGGCCTGATGCACAAAATTGGTGCAAGGGGCTTGGCCCTCGCAGCCCTGGCTGCCTCCGCTGGCCCTCACAGCCCTGGCCGGCCCTTGCAGCTCCTTGCAGTCCCGGGTGGCCCTCGCAGCCTAGGCTTCATCCGGAAGGACGTCTGGAAGGTCGTTCGGCTCTTTGGTCTATGTTTCAGCTCCATTGTAATCTTACTAGAGGCCCGATGCACAAAATTGGTGCAAGGGGCTTGGCCCTCGCAGCCCTGGCTGCCTCCGCTGGCCCTCACAGCCCTGGCCGGCCCTTGCAGCTCCTTGCAGTCCCGGGTGGCCCTCGCAGCCTAGGCTTCATCCGGAAGGACGTCTGGAAGGTCGTTCGGCTCTTTGGTCTAATTAGCATATTAACTCTTTATTATTAAGATGGGACCACCATCGTATATATGGTCTGACGTTGATTGGAAGAAAGGTTGTTAGGCTGCATGTGACTGTATATGTTCAGTAGAAACCAACAACTAAATCAAATCTTAAGTTGATCATTTCAACTAATTTGCTTGAAAGAAGTTGAAGTTTGTGTCAAGCTAAATTATATAAAGGTTAAACAAAGAGTTTTTAACAAAGTGAAAATTGTGGAGTTTCTTTATTGAGTCAACAAACAAGTTGAATATACTGCTAAGGGAGAAGTGAACAATGATAGAGATATATGTGAGGTGCTTTGGGGACACAGAAGGGACATGTAATTGAGCCTGAGTGTATGGGGGAAGAGTTTCTAGGACAGTGATGGTGAACCTATGACACGCGTGTCAGAGGTGACACGTGAACTCATTTTTTTGGTTGATTTTTCTTTATTAAATGGCATTTAAATATATAAAATAAATACCAAAAATATAAATCTTTGTTTTACTATGGTTGCAAATATCAAAAAATTTCTATATGTGACACGGCACCAGAGTTAAGTTAGGGTTTTTCAAAATGCTGAGACACCAAGCTCAAAAGGTTCGCCATCACTGTTCTAGGAGGACCCACCTCCTAGGAAGGTAATGTCTAAATTTTTTTCTTTTCCCTCTTCATTAGCTTTAAAAATTATTTTAAAATGCATAGTTATTGTAAATATTAAAAGAATCCAGAAATATGAGTAGTAAAAGGTGTAAATCCCTAATTATACACCCTGCTCTCTAATCCCCATTCTCCAAAATTGTCATTAATTGATTGATGAATATGTTTCCAGATTTTTTCTATATGTATACCATCAAAGTTTTTCCCCACAAAATTGACCTCACACTATGTTTAATTTTGTAACTTGCTCCCCGCCCCCATGTAATAGTCTATAGTATTTTTCCATGTCAGTAGATATATATATTAATCTCATTTAAAAACTTGCTGCCTCACATAATGGTATGGCTGTACTACTATTTATTTACATTATTTTCTATTGCTGGACATGTAGTTTTCCAACCTATTATAAACAATGAATATCCTTCTACCAAATTATTTATTTTCTTTTGTGAATTAAGTTTTAAATGATGAGTAGCATATAGTAGGTGAAGAGTATGAGGATTAATGTGAAGGAGAAACATTTTCTGGATTAAGGGAACAACATGTACTTTCAAAAAACGCTGCTGAAGAAAATGACAGACTTAGGGGAGAAACATTTCTGTTTTTATGAACTCTTGTTTTCCTGAACTGTGTGTTAGAGTATCTTATTTTATGGAATATACATCTATTTACTGAATAATTTATAAATATATAATTTTCTTTGTGAGATTAAAAATATTTTTCAATAAATGTAACCAATGGAGAAGTGGAATCACAAGCTGATAAAAATGACTATTCAGAAGTTTCACAGAGGTTAAATGGATAGTTCTGGGAATAGAGCTTATATATTAGCTATCTTTCTCATCTTTTTTTGTCTAATTGAGAATTTCTTATCTAGAGTTCAAAATAGTTTTTTGAGTTGCTAGTCTCCACTACTATTCAACTGAAACAAATTTTGTTTAATGAAAAAAGATAATGATTAGGAAGTTGCTAGTTTATCAAGAAGGTATCTGAAAATGATATATATGGCTTATGGTAGATGAATTGCATTTTGTTGTATATTACTTTTAATAAAATTTTATTATACTTAAAAAGTTTTAGTTGTTGCTGTTCCAAATTTCTAATTTTTGAATGTTGCCTGTAGTGTGACATCAAGTACTATAGTATTATATTTTTATCATAATCCTGACAAGTAAGAGTATTTGCTCATTTTTAAAAATCACATTGGAAATAACAAATACCGCATGATCTCACTTATATGTGGAATCCAATGAAGAAAATAAATTGATGAACAAAACACATCCAGAAACATTGAAACATGCAACAGACTGACATATTTCATAAGAGTTTAAACAAAGAATTTATATGCATATATACATAGTCCATGGACAAACAGTAGTGGAGTAAGGCTTGGGGAGGGGACAGGAGGTAGATGGAGGAGGTCAAGAGTGAGGGGGAAGGGGGACATTTGTAATACTTTCAACAATAAAGTTTTAAAAAAATACATTGGAAATAAATGGAACATTAAACAAGGGTGGCATCCTGAGTTATTTCTAAAAGTAAAAGATTTTCTTTTTGGTTGCCAAGGATGCTTTGCTGTTTGGTTACTTGTTGAATAGAAATCGGAACCTTTGTAAGGCTCAACTTCTAAAATTTCTTACTCATTTAAAAATATTTATATGCTAAATTGTTCTAATTAGTTCTATTAATTTGAAAAGTATAAATGCTTTAAGTAAATCAGCCCAATGTGTTCTCTCATTACCTTAAATAATAATTGTATTATTTATTGTATTTCATGATTATGAAATATTTATACTTTATGTGAAGTATAATTTTTAAGCATTTATATCTATTTTTTTACTTAGAGTAATTTTAAGAGTAAAGTATACATTTAAACACATAAAGTAACTTACTTTGTATATAATTTTTTTTAGAGCTGCTTTAGAAGAAGTAGAAGGAGATGTGGCAGAATTGGAACTAAAACTTGATAAGGTAAATTTTACTTTTTTAACTTTTAAAACATTCTTATTTTCTATAAATAATAATTTGTGCCTATAATAGTAGATGATTCACATTACTTCTTTTATCTCTGTGTGGGTAAATGCTATTTTTATCCCAATTTTACACATGAGGAACTTGAGGCAAGGAACAATAACTAGCTTGTTCAAAATCTAATCAAAGTGCCAGAGCAAGAATTTGAACCGTGTCTGACTTTATTTTTTTTTTTAAAGCTTATTGATTCTAGAGGGAGAGAGGAAGAAAGAAAGACAGGAAGAAAAAAAGGAAGAAAGAAAGAAAGATAGAAAAAAGAAAGAAACATTGATTTGTTGTTCCACTTATTTATGCATTCATTGGTTGATTCTTGTATGTGCTCTGACTGGGGATTGAACCTGCAAAGGTGACAATGCTCTAAACAACAGCTACCCAGCCAGGGCCTCATGTCTGACTTTCAAGCTCACTATATATTTTTTATATTGTTGGAAGTTTGTTCCCTTTGTCCCCATCAAAAAGATTGTAACTATCTTTTTTGATGCTTATAAATTTGTAAGTTCCTGTTTATAAATTTGAGTGTGGCCATGTTCAAATATAAAATAAAATAAAATAAAATAAAATAAGTAAAAATAAAATAAAATAAAACAAAAACTCATATTTTTAAAGAGCTATTGCCAGAATGCTTAATATATATTTAATAATTAATATTAAGTGGTCATATTCTCTGTAAAGGTAAATGTACATTGATTACTATCTTCTATATTAATTATTGATAATCTTGTGTGTTTTTTTGCTTCTACTCAAGAGACATTGTCTGCTATACAACAGGCAGAAATACGAGAATGACTAGGACATGGCTTCTGATCTTTTTTTTTTTTTTTATAAATTTTTATTGATTTCAGAGAGGAAGGGGGGGGGAGAGAAAAATAGAAACACCAGTGATGAGAGAGAATGATTGATTGGCTGCCTCCTGCATGCCCCCCAACTGGGCATCGAGCCTGCAACCAGGGCATTTGCCCTGACCTGGAATGGAACTGTGACCTCCTGGTTCATAGGTCAATGCTCAACCACTGAGCCATACTAGCTGGGTGTGTCTGATCTTACATAACCATTATTCAGTGAAAAATTTCTGGAAATAAATTAGATGTATATACTTAAATTACCTTTTTTGAAAATAGTTTCCTATTTATATAATTACTAGAGGCTAGGTGCACGAATTTGTGCACGGTTGGAGTCCCTAGACCTGGCCGGTGATCTGGGCCAATGAGGGCTGGGCAGATCGGGGCCTGCCAGCCAGGGGGAGGGACCGTGGGCCAAACTGGACTTGACGGCCAGGGGGAGGACAGGGTGTGGGAGGTTGGCTGCAGGCCCCGAGGAGGGAACCAGCCCTCAGGACCCCTAGGAAAGGGGCCGCGTCCACTGCCACCCACCCCAGGTTCCCCATCCCAGCCTGGGGCCTGAAGGCCCTGGCGGGGTCAGGAGAGGAGGCGACTGTCGCCGGGCTGGGTGCAGAAGGAACGGCCACCGCCACCAGCCAGATGCGGGAAGTTGGCTGTGGGAGCACACTGACCACCAGAGGGCAGCTCCTGTGTTGAGTGTCTGCCCCCTGGTGGTCAGTGTGCATCATAGTGACTGGTTGACCGGTCATTCTGGTCGTTTGGTCGTAATGGTTGCTTAGGCTTTTATATATATAGACTAGAAGCCCGACACATGAAATTTGTGCAAGAGTAGGCCTTCCTTCCCCCGGCTGCCGGCACCAGCTTCCCTCTGGCACCTGGGACCTGGGCTTCCCTCTGGCCTCTGGCAGGCACCAGCGACCTGGGCTTCCCTCGCAGCCCCAGCTTCATCTGGAAGGTCATCCAGAAGGACATCTGGAAGGTCGTCCAGTCTAATTATAATAGCATATTACGCTTTTATTATTATAGATATGGTAAATGGTATTGCTATGTAAAGCAGTGCTTCTAAAACCTTACTGTGCTTAGATTCTTATCACCTGGGGATCTTATGTGAAAATACAGATTCTGATTTAGTAAGTCTGGAGTATCTGAGATTCTTTGTTTCTAACCTAATTCCAGGTAATACCTATGCTGTTGTTCCAGGACTGCACTTTGAGTAGCAAGGATATAAAAATTAGTCTGATGATTTTTTCAAATGTTTTGAAATCTTGAAATATACATACATAGGTATATAATGTAAATAGTATAGAAACTATATAAAACAGTATTAGTTATATATGTAAAACATACAAATTTTAGAAGCACTTTGTTATACAGCATGTTTTTGGATTTTTATAATAGTCCTGTAAGGTAGGTAGGACAAGTGGTATTATTCCTATTTTAGAGATGATAATACCAAAGCCCATATGGCAAAGGGGACTTGCTTCATATCACAGTTAGAAGAGGCAGAATCAGGATTAGAACCCATATGTTTTTATTCTTAGTTCAGTGCTCTTTTGCACCACTGTATTTCTGGATCCATGTTGGGGGAGCACATGCCACTTGGAAATTTTCTGAGGAACACTAACAAGCTTCCAGGCAAGTGTTTTTAAGAATTAATGTTACGATTTTTAATAAGAATATTATTTTTAAATCTTTACTTTTTACTTAAAAATAAATGTCTGGGATTATTATTGTTATACTAGAGGCCTGGTGCATGAAATTTCGTGCATTGGGCAGGTCCCTCAGCCTGGCCTGTGCCCTCTCGCAGTGGGACCCCTTGCTCCTTACTGCCTGCCTGCAGTGGAAGTGGGAGAGGTTCCTGCCACCGCAGCTGCACTTGCCAGACATGAGCCCGGCTTCTGGCTGAGAGGCGCTCCCCCTGTGGGAGTGCACTGACCACCAGGGGGAAGCTCCTACATTGAGCGTCTGCCCCCTGGTGGTCAGTACACGTCATAGCAACCAGTCGTTTCACCGTTCGGTCGATTTGCATATTAGGGTTTTATTATATAGGATAATTCCTGAGGTATTATATTCGTTTTTAAGCACTCTTTAAAACAGTTCTTAAACCTTTAAGGTAGGCAACAGAAGATACTATTTTGATTTTCTGGTAGATTTATGAGAGAATATATAAAAGGCAAGGCTTTTTTAAAAAATCACAGAGTAGTATAATAGGGCATCTATTCTCTTTGGGTAGAACTGCATGTAAATCACATGAAATTTTTTTGGGGGGGTGAGGAGAGCCTTACAATTTAAAGTATCCAAACAGTCCACTGACAGAATTTTTGTTAATGACTTTGCTTTCATGAGTAGGTTTTTTTCTTTTATATCATTTAGTTGGAGTTGGAAGACTGGTAGAATTCTCAAACCAAAAATTCAAATCCAAAACTAGTTATTAAAAAGTATTGACATTTTACTCTCAAAGGGCTACTTAAAGGCACCGTGGAAACTTTGACTTTTATGAAAATATCATCTTCTATCCAAAAAGAAGTTCCATAGTTATTTTTATATTTTTCTAATTTAAGATCTTAATTCCTTATAAATGTACTCTCCCAAATTCTTAAGCTATTATCTATCATTTTCACTTTAGAATTATGAGGAGTTAGCATAGAGCAGAGAGCCTGAGAGTTGTTAGAATGGTTGTTATTGAAGGTGGTGGCATTGAAGGGCTAGTGGAGGGGAGAGGTTGCCCAAGACTAGTTTAGTGATTTCATAACTTTGTGCAGGGCAAGTTTCACCTTTAATATTGTAAATCATGCCGGCAACAGGTTAAACTAGCTTGATGACTTAGCTTATATTTATTTTGCTTATAATGTATGCCACTCTTCCTCATGAATATTGCTTCAATGAGGGGCATTGCTTTACTGGGTCCAATTATTTGTCAGTTGTGGCAGGCATTTGGGCATTGACATCATAGAGCAGTGATGGCGAACCTATGACACGCGTGTCAGAGGTGACACGCGAACTCATTTTTTTGGTTGATTTTTCTTTGTTAAATGGCATTTAAATATATAAAATAAATACCAAAAATATAAGTCTTTGTTTTACTATGGTTGCAAATATCAAAAAATTTCTATATGTGACATGGCATCAGAGTTAAGTTAGGGTTTTTCAAAATGCTGACACGCCGAGCTCAAGAGGTTCGCCATCACTGTCATAGAGCATCATAGTTACCATCTAGACAATTTCTGTATCTGCTGCATTTTCTTACTGGCATACTTGCTCCCTGTTTGTTAAGTAGATACCCTTTAAATCACAGTTCAGTTGCCTGGCTGGTGTGGTTCAGTAGTTGAGCATCAACCAATACACCAAGAGGTGGTTGATTTGCTTGGGTTGCAGGCTTGATCCCCATTGGGGTTCTGCAGGACATAGCCAGTTGATGTTTCTCTCTCTTCTTCTCCCTTCCTCTCTCTAAA